TATGTATATAAAATATTTTCTTGTTATATATGAAAATGTACAAATATAATGAAGAAAACCAATAAACCCAAAAAATAAACACAACAAAACCAGAAAAACAAAGAAGAGAAAGAAAACACAATTAAAAATAAGAAAAAAGAAAGGAAAAAACCATTAGCAACTTTGAAGGAAATGAAGAAAAATGATGAAAAAACAAAAAAGAAAGAAAGAAAACCTATGAAGAAATAAAAGGAAAGGAAAAAGGAAAAATGATAGAAAAAATTGACGAAGCCAACACGTAGAATGAACGAGCGAATGACTGAGCTAGTAGCGAGCGAGCGACCATGCTAATGGGTTGGCCCATGTGTGTGAACCATTCAGGCAAAACAGATGATATCTCACTTTAAGTGAGACTAGTAAGGCACACATGCATTGCACGCATGAGATTTGACAACAAAATTGTGAATAAATATCACACTATAGCATGTAAGTTTTAAGTCATATATGCATGATGTAGATGTTCGTTTAGTTCTTATAGTTCATCTCATTCAAAAACAATTAGTTTTATAAAAAAAGTTAAGATTCATGGGATTGTGAATTGTAAAGCATAAAGTAAAAAACAAATAATGGTAATTCATTTAGAAAAAAAGTTTAGTCAATTATACGGAAGATTCTAGAACAAAGAAGAAGTGTTTGTCTTTTGAGGTTTGTGCATTATGCTTAAATTCAATCATGTAGTCTTCTAGATTGTACATGTGTGGCAGAATCTGGTGGAATGTAGATGATATCCAACGGCCAGTAGTGCTCGAATTTGTCATCTCTGCACCGTCGGATTGGCTTCATCCAACGACAATCTTTCAAAGTTATTCACACACTATATAAGGGTATAGATATACTATTCGTGCGGAGAAGCTACAGTGTTATGCCTGCCCCTTAGCGGATTGCATTTTTCTATTTCTTTTGAGGGGTCGTTAGTGGATTGCCAAAGGCGAGACAACATGCCCCCTGGCGGGGGCACCCCTATATCTCACCTTCAATGAGTCCAGCTTCCGACTTGCTGAAGGGGTGAGCAAGATGGACCGGCCCATGCACGCGGGAGGCCAAAACCTCTTTTCTGTTTTTTCTATGTTTTTTGTTTTTGTTTTTGCTTTATTTTTGTACTTATTTTATACTTTAAAATATTCTAAAAATATATAATACAAAAAATACTCTACAAAAACATTTGGAAAAAGTTGAACAAGTATTTAAAAAATGTTAATCAATGTATTAAAAATGAGGATTTTTTATCATCTATATAAAAATGTTAATCAAGCATTTGAAAAAAATGTTGAAAAAATATTAAAAAATACTAATCATGCATTTGGGAAATGTTAAACGTCTTAAAAGACCATGTACTAAAACAATGACGAATGTTTTTGATCAAAACTATAAAACTTTTAACCAAGCATTTGGAAAAATGTTGAACAAGTAATTGACTAATGTTAACCAAGAGTTTAGAAATTGTTAAATGCGTATAAAAAATGTTGACCATGTATTAGAAATGTTAATCTTTTTATTTGAAAACTGTCAATCAAGCATTTAGCAGAATGTATAGAAAATATTGACCATGTGTTCAAATAATATTAATCTTGAATATGGAAAATGTTAATCAAGGATTTTAAAATATTTAAAATATGTATAGAAAAAATTATGACAATACATTAAAAAAATTGTATTGAAAAAATGTTTTTGTCATATAAAAAAATGTTAAACGTGTATTAGAAAAATGTTGTTGACATATAAAAAATGTAGAATGAAAACAAAAAGAAACAAAAAAACCCAAAAAATTGAAATAAAAAATAGAAATAAAATAAACCAATGAAAAAAGAAAATAAAAAACCTAAGAAACATATGCAGAATTAATGAAACAAATAAAAAAACCAGAGAAGAAAAAAAAGAAAATAAACAAAAAATAGAAGACAAAAACCTGAGAAAACCAGCTCGAATTGCCTCAAGATGGAAACCCCCAACTAATAGCCATGAATGCGAATCGGGTGGGGTGGCTAGCAGTGTCAGACTTCTCCCTGGAAGTATTGGGATCCAACCTCGCGCGTGCTCCTCTCTCTCCTCATATTGTTTCAAAAGTGCATTGATGGGCTGGTCCAGTTGCTTGCGCAAGGAGCTTTTCATCTTAATGCTAGACATAGCTTTCGCTCACGAGCACTTATCTCGCATTCAGCGAGACCTACGGTTCTCTGGCTGAAGGGGTCTCCAGTACTTGGGCCGACTCATTCGTGCAGAAAAGGAAAAGGAGAGGAGAAAACGGAGCGAGCAGGGAACTCTAACCTGATCTCTTGAGGGAGAGCGCAGCTAGCCACTCGGTTTGGCTGGGATTCTGACAGAGTTGTAGCGATGGTATAGCTAAGTCGAAACAAGTCGGGTTTTGCACTATATCTTCTCGTTTTTTCCTGTATTTTTTGTTTTGGTTTCTTTTGGTTTTTCACCATTTTTTCTCTATTTTCATTCGGGTTTTATTTAATTTTTCTTTTTTATTTTTTCTTCGGTTTTATTTATTTATTAATTTCTTTTTTCATTTTTTTCATTTTTTCTTCTCTGTGTTTCATTATGTTCCGTATTCTTTTGTTAGTTTTCTTCTTTAATTTTTATTTATCTTTCTGGGTTTCAATGCTTTTTTGTTTCTTTTTGTTTTTCTTCTCTAGTTTTTGTTTATTTTTTAATTTTTATTCTTTCTACGTTTGTTTCTTCATTTTTTTATTTCTTGGTTTATTTTTTTCTGTTTTCATTTTTTGCTTTTTATTTGTTTCTTTTGATTTTCATTCTACATTTTTGTATATGTCAATTTGTTTTCCTAATACAAGTTTAACATTTTTTAATACAAGTTTAGCATTTTCTAATACATGGTCAACATTTTAAATGATTGATCGACATTTTTCAAATACAAGATTAACATTTTTCTATGCACATTTACATTTTTTTTTCAAATGCTTAACTAATATTTTCTTATTTCAATATTAAACATTTTTAACACATTGTCAACATTTTTTCTATACACATTTAACATTTTCTAAATTCTTGATTAACGTTTTTGAAATACTTGTTCAACATTTTCAAATGCTTGATTAACATTTTTTATATACATTACCGAAAAAACTCAACATTTTTTAATAGTTGGTCAACATTTTTTCATACGACTTTAACATTTCTCAAATGCTTGATCAACATTTTTCAAATAAATTTTCAACGTTTTTAAATACATGATCAAAGAATTCATCATTTTTTAATACATGGTCAACATTTTTGTACACATTTAACATTTTCCAAATACGTTATCAACATTTTCCCAAATGCTTGATTAACATTTTGATATATGTTATAAAAAATTCTATCATTTCTTAATACCTAGTCAACAGTTTTTCTATATACATTTAACAATTTTCAAATGCTTGTCAACATTTTTGAAATTATTGTTCAGAAAATTTTCAAATGCTAGATTAACATTTTTAAATACATGATAAAAAAAATTATACAATTTTTTGTACACATTTTCCATTCAACATTTTTGAATTGCTAGGTCAAATTTTTTTGAAATGTTTTTATGTAATATATATATTTAGAATATATTTTAAAGTATAAAAAAAATAGAAAAAGTAAAGCAAAAAACGAAACAGAAACCGTTAAAAAATAAAAAAGGAGGTTGTGGCCTTCCGCGCTCCTGGGCTGGCCTATCTCGGTCTCCCATCCTACCTTCTCGCTGAAGGCGAGACATAGTGGCGCCCACTTTCGCTATACAAAAGAATAACATAAGCTTTCGCGGGAAGTGACATATATCCTTTTCTCAAAATCACTAGTTAAGGAGTACTCGTTGCAAAAATTACTCCCACCTTCCTAGGTTGCGATATGCGCCACTTGTCATAACCCGTGAGTTTTCCCTTTTTTCATAGATTCATTTATTCAAAACATTTTATCTCTTAAACCATGCGTCCAAATCTCGAACCGTTTTCACCCTTGGATTCCTCGCGTCGAGATTTTCAAAACTAGACCCCATATTGATAGGTTTGACGAACTTTTTTTTACGGAAAATCAAACAAAAAAACCGAACCGGGAGCACGTTTTTTCCCTTTCCGAAAGAGACACGCCCGTGACTCTCATGAAAGCAAAACCGTGCCTCTCATGGAAGAAAAAAAAGAAACACGTTTTTTTCGTTTCCGAGAAGGCACGACCGTGCCTTTCGCGAAAGCACAACCATGCCTCTAACGGAAGCAAAACCGTGCATCTCGCGAAAGAAAAAAAACAAAAAGCACGTTTTTTCCCGTTTTCGAGAGCCACGGCTGTGCCTTTCGCGGAAGCAAAACCGTACCTCTCTCGGAAGGAAAAAAAATAAAAAACACGTTTTCTTTTTTCGTTTTCTGAGAGGCACGACCATGCCTCTCACGAAAGCACAACCGTGCCTCTCGCGGAAGGAAAAAAATAGAAAATGTGTTTTTTCCTTTTTGAAAAGCACGGCCGTGACTCTCGTGAAAGCAAAACCATATTCTCGTGGAAGGAAAAAACCGTGTTTTTCCTGTTGTTTTTGTTCCAAAAGTTAAGAAAGACCGATCAAAAACCGAAATGTCGAAAAAAATAAAAAACATTTTAAAAGCCAAAAACATGTGCGAAAAAATAAAAATAATAAAATCCGGAGGGAATGCCCAGAGCACGACACGTGACGGGCGGCTGAGAGCACGTCAAGTGACGCTGATCGTTGTGAGGCTTCCGAAGAAGGGCTCGTTAATTAGTTGGTCTCAAAGACAGGAGACTGGCATCCGGGCCGCCGTAACAATGGGCTGAGCCGTAGAAAGGTAGCTCGTGTTTCGTGTCAAGGGCCAAACGATCTGCTGGTTGGTCTCCAACTACGCGCCAACTCGCTTGCTGAAACAACGGCCTACTCGTCGCAACTCGCAAACCGCAGGAGCGCGGACTGTTTCCCTCCCCACTTCCCCAGTCACGAGGCCTAGGGTTCGTAGGTGGGTCCACTTGCTTACATGGCTTCTATGGTTGCCGCCGCGCGCCTCGCCGGCGGGGTCTCGCGGCTGTCGGCTCAGGGTTCTACTGCCCGGGGCCTTCCGCCCGGTAGCCTCCGGCTTCCCCCGCCGCGCCGGCGTCTGCGCAGCGTCCGGTGCTGCGTGGTTCGCCATCCCGGCGGCGGCGGCGGCGGCGGCAGCGTGGACGCGGGGGAGGAGTTCGTCGGGTTCTTCCGGGAGGCGTGGCCGTACATACGGGGCCATCGTGGGAGCACCTTCGTGGTCGTTATATCCAGCGAGGTTGTGTCGGGGCCACACTTGGACCGCATTTTGCAGGTACTATGATTTCTTAAGTTGAACTGAGCTGGAGTGTTTTGGGTTTTCGTGTTCATTGTTCGTATGAAAGAGCATGCCATTCTTCCATTTAGTCATGGGGGCCGAACCATGGAATTGTTTTATAGCGATTCTAATTATCCAACATAACTTACTTTTATTACAAATGATTCAAACAAAACTGTTTATCCATTGGCCGGCTGGAGATTGTATGAGATGGATGGACCATATGGTTCATTGGACTTGATCTATGGGCAAATGATCTAAAGAAAGCAATCAAGGTATAGTTTGGATTGCAGCCCGCGGCTGCCCTACCAAAGTTTTGGCGTTGACCGCTAGTATTGGCCGCTGTTTGGATCGTAGCCAGTCTTTGCTGCCCACGCCAATTTTTTGGTCGTTCGTTCAGATTCAGCGCCCGCGCGTTGGCGAAACGGCGGCGGCCAAAACCTTCGCCAACAATTTGGCGAGCCCGATATTGGCGGGGCTGGTGTGGGGGTGAGCCAAACAGCCCCATAGTCACTAGAGACTGGACAGCTGCAAGTTGTAAGAGTATGGGTTCGTTGGACTTAATTTTATGGGGATGAGAAATGAGGGACAGAACGAGAAGCAGCTTAGTTTTTTCTTGGTACATAGTTGGAATGAGGGTCTTCTGCGAACATGGATTCAAGACTATAAATGGCCCCAACTTTACTAGGAAAAAGGAGTAAAAATCACTGGTTTTCCTGGCAGGAGTATGGCATTATTTTTTCATTCATGTGACTGAGCTTAGGTGCTACTGTTATGCTGCATAGATTTATCATGTTTTGTTGTCATAAAGTTCACATCATTATGGATTCCTTCCATTTTCTAGCTATTTAGGGAAATATTACATTTTCAATCATATGCAGGATATTTCACTACTTCATGGTCTTGGCATTAACTTTGTTCTTGTTCCGGGAACACATGTCCAGATTGACAAACTATTGTCAGAAAGAGGTTAGTTCTGCACATGTAGTAAACCAGTCTTCTGTCACTCACATCTGATCATACTTATGCTACTAACGATTGTATATTTGTTCTTACTTTCCCATCTATGGTTTATCTATTTATTTAAGTTTACGACACAATATTTAAGGGACCTTCAGCATATAAAGGTACCTAAAAAAACTTAAAGATAGCTTAGTTCCTGAAGCACACTATGCTGGATAACTAGAAACACAGTCGGACACATTTTGCAACAGCACCATGATACCTTACTAGTGAACTCTACCTCTTTGAGAAGTACGTCATTTATTTCATCACTTCTGCCCCACTCCCCACCTCTGTTTTTAAGGCGTCCGTAAGGCGTCGCTTAGGCGACGCCTAGGCGTCAGGGCGCCCTCCAGGCTCAGGGCGTCGGCCTTGCCTTAGACAGTCGTGTAAGGCGTCCGCCTTAGGCTGTAAGGCGTCTGAAGCGTCCGCCTTAGCGCCGCCTTGCACGCCTCAGACCAAATCGGACGCCTTAGCTTGTCAGGCAGGGAAACAGAGATTGCAGGCGGGAAAACTGACCTGGGCGGGAACACAGGCGCGGGAAACATTGGTTCAGGTGCGACCAGTTATGAGAAGGGGAAAGAGAGAGTGAATCGACGCGAGAGGTCTCTCCTGTCTCCTCTCTGGACCATTGACGGAGGCTTCCTCCTCAGATCTGCGGCAGCCGCCAGCCTCCTCCCTCCGGCCACAGTTCCTCCCCCTCCTCTCTGGCTGCAGCTCCTCCCCATCCTCCTCTGGCGCAACCCTCTTCCAGCAGATCAGCACCACATCAAGGTATGAATTCAGCCCTCTCTTCTCCCCCCCTTCCCCCTCTCCTCTTTCTTCCATCCAGCAGTGTAGCTTGCCATGCTTGCCTGCTCTGTTATGCACAGCTCCTCTACTAACTGTTAGGTGCTGCCTCTCTTATGCACAGCAGTGTAGCTAGATGTGCTTGCCCGCTCCTCATCTGCATCTGTTTCTTCCCAGATCTGCTTCTCCACCCACAAGGCAGCAGCCCCACCACTGCTTCTCTCCTTCCCCATGCTTGATCTGGCTGCTCTAGTGATTTGGCTCTTCTCTCTTTTTCTTTGACAGTAGCCAGGTGTACCTGCTCTGATGGATCTAGCCAATGATCCTAGGAGAAGAGCTACATCAGATGATCCAGCCTGGAAGTATGGGTTCTGGCCAGATTTAGAGAGGAAAGATTTACTCCAGTGTACATTGTGTGGCAAGATAGTCCATGGTGGAGTGAGAAGGCTAAAGCAGCACTTTTCTGGGGGTTCCAGTGATGCGGATAAGTGTCCCGAGGCATCCATGGAGATTAGGATAGAGATGCACAATTCCTTAAACACTAGAAAGTTTAAAGCTATGGAGCGATATATTGATGAGGAGGATGAAGCTGAACTTCAAAGGCGCCGTTCTGTCATATACACAAGATGATTTGAGGCCTATGCTTTGGTAACAGTTTATATGTTAATGTTAGTTGTTAAATCTCCTAATTGGTGGCCATCTATTATATATGTATGTACAATTTATTAAGTTAATGCTAGTTGTTAAATCTCCTAATTGGCTGCCATATATTATATATGCACGTGTCTAAGGCGTCGCCTCGCCTTACGCTTTAGCGCTTAGGCGGTGAGGCGCCCCCCCAGCGCCTCGCCTCGCCTTACCGCCTTAAAAACATAGCTCCCCACCACAAAGCTTCCGTGGCACTTCCAAATGTGATTTGCAGAGCGATTGTGAAACAGGGACTATGTTGACTAAACTGCTGCTTACATATGTAGAATTTGACAAGTCACATTAGATGAAAGCAGCAACTTATTAGACCATTGGCAGGTGAGAGTATCCCCAACAATTTGTTACTAAGCTCATTGCAAAGCGAAGAGGGAATATCTGAACTCATCAATAGTATCAAACCCTCCAATAGGTTTTTACTTAGACCTTTTAGTAAGATAAAACCACATTCAATGTTGTGGAGCCACACGTTGAGTTTTCTTAGTAACAAGGGTCTCTCCAGGAGACCATATGCTTGTTACTGGTGTCTTGTTTGGGGAGCCAAGCTGTTTCCATCATAGAGTAACGAATTCACCATCTTCCCTCATCTTTTCTCTTCCACATTTCCTAAATGCTGATTTGGCATGGCATGACTTTAGTAACAACTCAGGTGGATTGGTGGAAATACTCCGATGATGATGTGGACAATAAGTTTCTTCACTATTCTTGTCCTTTGCATTTTCTAACACAGGCTTTATTTTTCTTCGAACTATATTTCTCGTATTTTCCTGTTCCTGCATGTTCTCATCCTATGAAACTTGCTGTAGGAAGGAAGGCTAAGTATGTTGGTCAGTACCGAGTTACCGATTCTGATTCACTAGAAGCTGCAATGGAGGCAGCTGGCAGAATAAGGTTAACAATAGAAGCAAAACTCTCTCCTGGCCCTCCAATGTTAAACCTCCGTAGACATGGTGTTATTGGCCATTGGAATGGTCTTGTGGATAATGTTGCAAGTGGCAATTTCCTTGGTGCTAAGGTGAATATTTATAACTGTAGTAAAATATTTGAGATTGGAGACAGCTATAGTACTGGGAGCCCTATCCATCTAGTTCTGCATTTAGGCATTTGAGTGCCTATGTACCTCCTTGCGTGTTATTTCTGTTTATTCCTCTACATTTTTTTACCTCTTATCTTCTACTGAACTAAAGTTGGCTGGAGGTCCTGCAATACTGAGTTTATGCAGCTAATTTTTTTTGGCAGAGAAGAGGGGTAGTTCATGGTGTTGATTACGGATTTACTGGTGAAGTTAAGAAAATAGATGTTTCACGGATAAAAGAAAGGCTTGATAGTGATAGCATTGTTGTTGTGAGCAATATGGGATACTCAAGCTCAGGAGAAGTTCTAAATTGCAAGTATGTTATTTTCTCTACTAGTCGTTTAATTTCAGTTTTTGATGATTATATGCTTGCATTGATTTTCTCTCTAAATTATGCGTATATTATATGAGAAATATGTGTGAATTTCCTGTTTTATTTGAAAATTGCTAAATAACCACACCATCATTTTTTTCTCTGTAATTTTGTATATATTGTGGGTAACCTACTAAACAAATTAATTTTCCTTGTTTTTGAACATTCAGCACTTACGAAGTAGCCACTGCATGTGCCTTAGCCATAGAGGCGGATAAACTTATCTGCGTTGTGGACGGTCAGATATTTGATGAGAATGGACGAGTCATTCATTTCATGTCTCTGGAGGAAGCTGATATGTTGATCAGAAAGCGTGCTAAGCAAAGTGATATTGCTGCAAATTATGTCAAGGTGGTTGATGAGGAGGACCATGAACCATCTTTGAACGGAAAGGGGCACCTTAATGGGTACGCTGCTTCTTTTCGAAACGGTTTGGGTTTTAATAATGGAAATGGTATTTGTTCTGGTGAGCAAGGGTTTGCTATTGGTGGTGAAGAGCGATTAAGCAGGTCAAATGGCTATCTTTCTGAGTTGGCTGCAGCTGCTTATGTATGCCATGTAAGTGGCGTACCTTCCACACAACATTTTTTATTTTGTTTCTGCTTTAAGATCTACTAGTTTATCTACAGAGCATAAGATGAACATATCTTTCTTTTTGAAATGGTGTCCCCCAGAAAGTAGCAACATTGTTTTTTGCATTGTGGTTCTTGTTGAATTTAACTATTGCTATAGTATCACAGTGTCATGCTGCTATGCACCTATGTCTTATTGGATCCACATGTTTTGAAGTGTGGCAGCAATCCTGTTTTAGCAATACTAGTGTCACCTAACGTGTTGCCAGATCTGAAAAAGCTGGCACATTGAACGACATAAGGAGTACCCTATCTTAGTGCATCACTATTTTGCCGTAGCTTGGGTCGATGTCCCTGTTGAGGACTACAGTACAGTAGTATCCAGGAATCTAAAGCCGACCTATATATTAGAGGTTGAGTGTGGTTTGAGTAGAAGGTGGCATGCCGTGTGATACTTGTGTTTGCTCTTTCAATAAAGCAAGAAATGTTCCTTCAAACAGTGAAATATTCGAACCATGTTCCGAATGAAGCGTAAGCTGCAAAGTTCCATGGCAGTCTCTATCACTTAGATTTGACTGTATACATTTATGTCTTCCTTATGCTAGGGTGGTGTTCAAAGAGTTCATATCATAGATGGTACAGTTGATGGATCACTGTTATTAGAATTGTTTACAAGAGATGGTGCTGGGACAATGATTGCGAGGTATTCTTAACGTATTTCTTTTCATTTTCTTATTTAGTTGAAAGGCGTTCGGCCTAGCTTATGTTGAAAGCCAACAATGCACAAATCAAATTTTTGTACACAAAAGTCTAGGTCCAGTACACAAGCCAATGCTCCCATGCCTGCTTTATCCTTCTATTGACTTGGATGCATCTCATAAACTCATTAATATCTTTCTTTTTCTTATTCTTGATTCCTGTAAGAAACACTAGCATGTGAGAAATTAGATGCCTCTAACAGTTTCAACATAGTATAGAGTATTACTGTACTGATAATAAAATATCTACTTGTGAGCTGGCTTGGACTGGTTGATAAGGTAAAGGAAAAAAATAATAACCATGTGTTACACACCCAAGACACTACAGCTTCTATGTTGTTGCTATTCATGTCAGCAGCCAGTAGATCTTTTTGCAAGTTTAGCATTGATCCATAATATATGTCAAGGCTAAAGAATGAGGATACATATCAAACGTGTTTCTGAAGCAAATATTTCACCATGGTATTCTTTGTGCATTAAGATGTCTTTTGAATCTAGGCTGTACAAGCTATCACAGTCAAGATTCATGTCCTACCTATCACATTTTTTCAGGGATGTTTATGAAGGAACAAGAATGGCGACGGAGGAAGATCTTCCTGGCATAAGAAAACTTATCTACCCACTAGAGGAATCTGGTGTTTTAGTGCGAAGAACAGATAAAGAGGTGTGTTAAGATTTTGAGAATCTGTTATAACGAATGCTTCATTCTCTTCATAGTTAGTACATAGTAGTGCTAAAATGTTTCTTTTCTCCAACCTTCAGCTTCTTGAAGCGTTGTATTCATTCTATGTTGTTGAAAGAGATGGTTCAGTCATTGCATGTGCTGCTCTCTTTCCATTTCCCGAGGACAAATCTGGTGAAGTTGCTGCAATTGCTGTATCTGAAGAATGCCGAGGAAGAGGTCTGGGGGATAAGTTGCTTGGTAAGTTCATTGCCACATGCATTATTTTTGGTGTTCTGGAAGTAGCAACCAACTTGTAGTCTCAAAGATGGTGTTCTATTGCATCATAAATATTTCCATTGCATAATATACTCTGGAAAGATTCACCCATATTAGTGTACGTCTGGTGGTCTTGAACTGTGCTATAGCTAAGAAATACAGGGTTAACACAAATTTGTTTCTGCTTGACAATGTTCCGTAGCCCAATCTTTAACATTCGCAATGTTTTACATCGATATGTTTAATCTTAAAATTCATGGATCCATGTCGAGGTATGCAGTTGACTGGTTTTCAAAACAAATTGGGGTGTCATTTCATAAAAACAAAACTGTTAGCGACAGCGCTGACTTAGCGGGATTTGCTATTTATGATTGGTTGTTGCAATTCCTGTTCGAGCTGTAGTTTTTCCGCACATGTTTCAGTGTGCCCAGTTCACTCATTTGCCGTACACATATACCAACTCAAAAGGATTAAAAAGATAGAAAAGAAACCACATCAAAGAATATGGTGGTGAGGGAGTCCCTTTTTAACTAGCCAGTGTACTACTAACCATCTGATGATGAAAGCCAGAAATCTGATTAAAATGATGGAGAAAAAACCATAAAAGAAAATGGTGATGATGGAGTTTAACTAGCAAATCTGCTACTAACCATCTGATGGTGATGGCCAGAAATCAGAATGTTAATTGGGCGATTTTTCTCTCGTGTTCTCAGAAACATTAAAAGAGCTCCCACATGTCGGTGTTAGTTTCTACTATTAATGATATTGCACACTTTTTTACTTGTGGTTGTGGTTATGCTTCAGATTACATTGAGAAGGAGGCATTATCCCTTGGTCTTGGCAGACTATTCTTGCTTACTACACGGACAGCCGATTGGTATGTACCTATATCCTCCTCTTGGCGTATATATAGCAGGTTTCATATCCCATGACTAAGGACAAAATGGGTGTCCTCTCTATTATCTTAGTGCAGACATTAAGTTGTCAGTTAGCTCTAGTTCAAATATCATGCCAGTCTTAGAGATGTTCAATGCACTAGGCTCTGTTAAATCCCAAGTTTCATAGAGAAAGCTTCCCGTGGTCTAAGTGAAGTTTCATGGTCTTTCTTGGGTGTAGATTTGTCAATTTCTTTCACATGATTTCACTAGGACATCTCTAATGGCACACTGCAACCATTTCTTAGAGGGTGCCACTTTAGCATTTTGTTCATGTAGACGAGAGAATATGAGAGAATAAAGTTGTTTCTGCAACAAAAAATAACATTGTTGCTAACACTAGTTGCATGGAACAACCAAACATGCTGTTTGAGGCCACTGTTGTTTGTAAATTCAGTCCACCAAAATCTATTGGCGAGGTTAAAACTTTGGTGAAGAAACAATCTGTTCTACTGGAGAGCTTGTTACTTGTATCATAGCGCATGCGGTTGTGTTGTTTCTCTCTGACCTAGAAAAAAACTTGTTGGGAGAGCCCTTTGGACCTGTTACACAGTCCAGAGTCCAGAATGTTGAAGTGCAATGATCAATCACATGGGAAATAGACATTGATTCAGCTTTTCATATGTTTGCTTGTGCTTAATTTGAAATGATGCAGGTTTGTGCGACGTGGCTTCTCAGAGTGTTCGATTGAATCTATTCCTGAGCAGAGAAGAAAACGCATCAATCTGTCACGTGGATCAAAATATTATATAAAGCAGCTCCAGCCAAAGCATGCTGGTGTCCCTGTCAACAATTTTGCTGGCAGATGATAGGACTTCCGAAGAATTTGGTGAGAGACAGACAAGATATCTGCACTTACATCGAGGCTTTTATATATGTTAGTTGTAATTTCAGATGGAAATATAACTGCAGCCTGTGATAGCGGCTCTAAAATTTTCTTTTACTTATGGATGTAAAAAGGACACTTTGTGACACAACAGAAAACAAATATCAGAGGAATTTCTATACAGAAACCATCTGCATGCGATATAATGATGCTTCCCTGGAAAAGCAATTGATGATGCCAAATGGAGGTGTGCATGTGCTACCCCCCTGATTGAGTCGGCCTGTTCACTTATGGGACGTACTCTACACATCTCTTAAGAACTACTCCCTCTGTACCATAATGTAAGACGTTTTTTGATACTACACTAATGTCAAAAAATATTTTACATCTCTTAAGAACTACTCCCTCTGTTCCATAATGTAAGACGTTTTTTGACACTACACTAATGTCAAAAAACATTTTACATCTCTTAAGAACTACTCCCTCTGTTTTATAATGTAAGACGTTTCTTGACGCTACACTAATGTCAAAAAACATTTTACATTATGGGACGGAGGAAGTATATGAAAAGAAAATGGTAACGGAAAGTATGCGCTATTGGTGGCGGTTTTCTTTCTTTTGCTTCCACCTTGATTTCGATGTACACCCTCCGTGTGAATTGCCAAAGCAGCTTATATTTAGGAACAGAGGTAGTAAAAGCTTGAAAAAGTGAGCCTGATGCTTGATTCCTGCGATGTTTTATTCTTATGATGATGATGATTTCCTTTTGCCTGGATTGAGAAGCAAAAGGCGTTTCGATGTGTCGCTGCTCCGGAGAACAAATCAAATGGAATACTTCGCGTGGAGGTTTGCCAACTTATCAGATGCTGATATGCACCGCACATGCATGCCTGCATGCCGAAATTAGCTTGCAGTTGGCAGCACGCATCCTTTCGAGCCGGCAGCTAGCCGGAGAGGAATAAATTTCATGGTTGGATATATTCCATCTTAAAGACCCGGAGCACATGCATATGCTGGTGCACTGTACTGTGCTGCCCAAGGTGGTGGGTGCCTTCATTGTTGGGCGTGACGCACACACGATATGGAATTAGGCAACGTAATGTCATCATCAGTGTGAGAATCTAAAACAAAATGTCATCATCAAGTAATAGATAAGAGGGATTACACGTCGACCTGTGCCTGTATACATGGCGTGCTTTGCTTAGCCTCGACACTTTGAATAGATGGTGCTCCCACCATCCCTTTGCTTATGGAAACTTACCATAAAGACGGTTGGATAGGAAGTGTTGGGTCGAATACATGCGAGGGAGTGGGTGTCTCTGGTGATTGCAGGCAAACAATCACAAAATATAAAGAATCACCCAGTGTAAAACGCTAGAAAAAGACCTACAACGTCCTTAATACTTCCAACAAGTATAGCACGTCAAGAATTCCTGCGGGCTCTGCGGGGCGAGATTGGAAGAATCGGATAAAGTACAGTCCAGTCGAAACCTCAGACTCAACCCGACGGCTAAACCGCGAGTATCGATGGAGACGTGCCAGAAAAATCAATTTGGACACCACAACCGCGAGTTGGATTCCACCAACAGAGACAGAGATAAACCGACACAATATACACACGGAAGGCACCAGGCATAATATAATCATCAGTCGACAACCAAGCGAATAGTTGCAATGCAGAGAGGTTCATAAACATGGATCAAACAAAGGAGGCGATAATGCCCGACGAGAAATAATAATTAAGCTACTAGCAGCATTTCTCCGTCAGAGAGGATAGCTCAGTCCCAGTTCCACGAAGTTGATCGTCGTCTTTCCTCCTCCCTCCTCAGAAGCAGGCGTCCAGGAGACAGCAGCAGCAAAGGGCGGCCAGGCTGTCGCAAACAAAATGTCAACAAGGGAATCATGAGACAGAACATCCAAGGCAGGATAAAGTAGCTGCATAATATACTGGCAGCATTTGCAACAAGTATATGCCTATGGCCGGCATAATGAAACATTACGCGAATTAATTCGAAATGCCCAACCATGCACGCAATTTTCAACTGTTAAAATAGGAGTATATACTGACAGTTTAGTGCGCGGGCATCTAAATAATTAGTACTGTACTGTAATCAATCTGATCGAGAATCTCCGGTGGGACGAGAGCCATTCTTCATGCAATTTGCAACTGTTTTTGGTAGTATACTATAAACAGTTAGTGCGTGAGCATCTACGTAATTAGTACTGTAATTAAGCTGGTTGATAATCTTGGGTCAGAGGAGAGCCGTTCTTTGGTAGTAGTACCGCGTCGTCAACGGAAATATTAATTCCCGATTCCCAGGTTGCGTCGTCCCGAAGGAATCTAATCTAAAGAGAGAAAAGCCTATTTCTATACCACGAACATTTTCTGATCTCATCTCAATGCCAGTCCAAAACGCATGCGAAACGCCTCCCGGAAATCGTGACCTCCAAAACGCATGTGAAACGCCTCCCGGAAATCGTGACCGCGGAGACGCATTTTTTTCTGTTAGTGCTGGCTGCTGGCTACACAACAGATGACTTTGACTGCATCCGAGCCGTCAATTTCAAGATCGGACGGTTCATGCCACGGCATGAGGGACGAGACAACCCCTCGCCGCGGGGAATACGTGTGTGCTTTGAGTGGAGCGACCGACACGTCGTCTGAGACCGCGACTGCTCTCTCTCTCTCTCGCCCTTTCCCGAGGGTTCGCTCACGCGTCAAGTCGCGGTCCCACCCACGCAAACGTGCAAGAGACGGCCACCGACGGGGAAAGGGGACGCCGCCGGTGTGCCCGGGCAGATCTGACCCGGCCGATCATGATTTCCAGCCCTCCGAACAAGCCCCGGACGGACTTTGATCTAATCTAGCGCTCGGGACACCGCAGGTAGGGAAAATCGAGGAGATGGGACGAGGAGCTTACCATCCCTCCATGAAGGAAGGCCCGCTGCTCTGCTGCTGCTGCTGGTGGGGCGGCGGCTGCTGCGCATACTGCGGCGGGTAGCCCTGCTGGGGGTAGCCGGCCGGCGGGTAGCCCTGCGCCGGGGGTGGGTAGCCGGCCGGAGGGTACCCCGGCGGTGGGTAGCCGGCCTTGTCCCCGTAGCCTGAGGATTCAAAGATTCACAGGCCAAGATTCAGCACAAAAAGAGGAAAGGGGCACCGCGCAGGAAAAGGAAAGAGAATCGATGGAGACGGGAATCGACGGGGTGCGCACCTTGCGGCGGCGGGGCGCCGACGGGTGGCTGCTGGTTGTAGTAGCTCATCTTCTCCTCCTCCTCTGGCTCCGGGGTCTCTCGCTGGTTCCTCGCGGCGATCGGAGCAGGCGCAGCAGGGCTTTGTTTGAGACGCTGGGGTTTGGGTGATTTGGTGGGCGTCGGGTCAGGTGGTTTTTATATAGCGGAATTCGCCCTTTTCCAAACCGCGTCCCGAACGTGGGCGCATGGGCCTGATTGGTGGGGCCGCGTGACGCGTTTGCCCGGCCCGGGTTTCGCCGCGGCGCGCACTTGCCTGGCCGTTGCGACCAGAACGCGTCGCCCGGGCCGGGTGCATTTATGGTTACCTGGTTTTTCTTTTGGCAAATGTGGGTAGGACTGTAGGAGTGCCTGATTTGGTTCCTTTTCCTTCGGTGTACCTGCCAAGCGTATAGCCCGGCCACGCGGTTCTTTTGGCTCGGAACATGCATTTGCTGTAACAAAGATATTTTGAGCCATGTTCGCATACCTCATCTCTATGAACCCATACACATATCACTATGAGTATCACCTAGAGATTGAGATGGCACATCGTTTTAAGACCGATGAAGTCGCGACGGTCGTCTTCGTGGTCGACAAAAACGTCTCCTTCCATTAAACACACATCGCCGAAAGATCTGAAATAAATCTAGGAAAATGTAAGCACCAATGTCAAGTCTGGTGCTTGAATTTTTATGAGCAGAGTAATACCACTGTCCTCCTAACCAACCACATTTTGGTTTACGGCACGCTACGACTGTTGATAAGGCAATCTTATTTTAATAAGTCCGCCACGTAATCTAAGAAGATAATAAAAAAAGATGTTTTTTCCTTTTTTTCGAAAAGGGGGGACTCCCCGGCCTCTGCATCAGAACGATGCATACGGCCACAAAAAAGATGTACACTGACTTATTTCGACCATCTCTTAGTTAAAAGAAGGCAAGTCCTTTTTTTATGATTTCTCTCTTGTTTGTCTCAGCATTTATTCTATGCAACACTTCTAAGATGACACCATTGTACATGCCCTGAGACATCTTGCTGTTAAATCTAACTCATGACTTCTTTGATTCATCTATATATCTATACAATATAAAATGACACACACGGGCATATACAATTAATCTCGGTCATGCCATATCCAACTTTCTAGGTTGGTCAAATGGTTAGTGCTCAACATGTTTAGGGTTCAATTAATATCATATCAAATAGTGTATCAATGTCTGTGCTATAATAAGATATAATTAACATGCAGTTGATATCTACCTAATATCAACGTGTAAACAATTTCCTCTGTAATATCAACGTCCATTGCATGTACGCATTTATAGTAAAAAGAAAGAAAGAAAATATAGGAATAGTGTTTTTTCTTCTATGGTGACATTGTTCACCTATTTGATTCAAAGGAATTGGCCATATAAAAAATGGAGGAAATTTTCCTTAAATTGAGTTTTGAAGGAAAATAAAGGTATTTTACAATCCACTCAAACCTTTTCTACATTCATGTGCACAAGTAAGGAGACAAAAGCCATAAAAAGCATAATATTAGATTCATCTTATCTTGCAGATGATTTGATCTTCATTTGATCATATCTCTACTCTTATAAAAAAAGATGGTGATGATAGTGTGCCTGTCATCTTGCAATATAGGTCGTCCGATCTATATCTAACGCATAGGAAGTAAGCTATGACAATTTTGCAA